CTGAAATTCTATACCCATTAAACAATATCTTCTCTACCCACTTTTTACTGACTCTTCTAATGCCCTCTGCCAAGAAAAATCCTCTCTATAGAATGATGCAAGGCAGGGGTAGGCAAACAGCAGCAGGCTGGATACGGCCTGTGGGCCACAGTTTGCCAACTCCTAACACAGGGTGATGGAACGTTAACACTACTGCCTTCTCCTGAGTACATGGAAAATGTCCCTCCACCGACCCGTGGAACCAGGGTGTAGGAGATGACATCACAGCAGTAACCACCTTTCCCGGCCCATTAAACTGAGTTTACTATGTGACTCTCAGACACAAACATCACTTGAATCTCTGAGGCCCTTCATAGCTTCTACCACAGTCCCAGTTCACACCAGTTCCAGAAAGAGGGTGAAAACAGAAAATCCAGATAACTCCACCTGAGAGGTGCTGTCAGCCATAACAAGTTCCTTGTACTTCAGCGAGGCACGCTTGACTGGTAAGGCTGCCCATGGCTGACACCCACAAGGAACACTGAAGAGTGTCCGCCTCTCTGGGAAGAAGCGTCTAGAACGGGATATGTCTCCATATGGTTCAGAACCTTGTCTGACCACGACTGCTGGAGAAAGAAGGCAGGCAGGTGACCGAGCCACTGGCCATGCATGGAAATGCCGGGGCTGTGCCCACAGCTACCTAGGGATCCGCCAACCGTGGCTGATGTGGCATTCCCCAGGGGTGCACAGCTGGACCTCTAGTCTAATCTGAACAGATTAGGTGTCACAGACCTACCTGCTCAGAACCAGGTCAGAAAGAGCCATGAGCACAAAAGCATTTCTCAGACCCAACATAGGCACTTCCATGTCCCAATAACACTGAGCTGGCATGTGGGCTGGCTGCAGCGTGGTATTAAAGAGAAGATCACAGGCCCTGGGGGCAGGCCACCTGGCTCTGAACCCCAGGCCCACCTCTGACTGGCTATGTGATTCCCCAGAAAGTTCCCTGATCTCTCTAAGACTAAGGTGCACATCGACAAAAGTAGGTGCTATTACCCCTACTCAAAGACTTGTTAGGGGCCGGCCCCGTGGCTTAGTGGTTAAGTGTGCGCGCTCCGCTACTGGCGGCCCAGGTTCGGATCCCAGGCGCATACCAGCACACCACTTCTCCGGCCATGCTGAGGCCGCGTCCCACATACAGCAACTAGAAGGATGTGCAGCTATGACATACAACTATCTACTGGGGCTTTGGGGGAAAAAAAAGAGGAGGATTGGCAATAGATGTTAGCTCAGAGCCAGTCTTCCTCAGCAAAAATGAGGAGGATTAGCATGGATGTTAGCTCAGGGCTGATCTTCCTCACAAAAAAAAAAAAAAGACATTATTAAAAGAGAAGTGCCTCGTCCATGCTAGTGCCTTTTCCCACAGCATGGAGACTGTACCCAAGAATACATTATTCTCTTTCCTCTCTGAAAGTCACCAGGCAAATGTCCACGGGACTTGTTACACTATTCTTACAGCCAGCACCTCTACAGGACCCTTTCCTGCCAAAGACGTTCTCTTAAAAATCCCTGCATCTTCCCTCCCTACATGTGGCAAGGCCTGCCTTAGGTGACAGGCAAGAAAAAAAGGGTGTGCATGTAAATCCAGGATGTCCTGGGCACAGGGAGTGACAAGCCCCCACTCCTGACGCAGACACCTGGGAACTGCCAGCCTCTACCAAGAACATTTCTGAGCACCCTTTCTGTTCACTACACTGTTAACAATCATAACAATGCTCAGCTCCTGCATTATACATCTTCCAGTTCCAAAACATTGGACAAACGGTAATGCATCCCCACAATGTCTCCAAAAGCCCTAAGAGAAATTATACTTCCAAAAACCCAGGGCATAAGAGTACTGGAAGTTTCTGAATGAATCACAGATTTCAGGGGTCAGTGCAGGCAAAGAATGGCTTAGGAATAATCATCTACCTCACCCAAGTCTCCCGTTCACTGCTGGGGAAGCCGACAAGAACAATGAGAACACATTCCCTGGGCCAGCCAGCAGGCACTGGAGAGACACTTGCTGCTGGCGGCTGCCCAGAGGGCCGTGGGAACTCTGCGCCAGTCTCCCCCTCCCAGCCTCATCCCCCATAGCAACCCCCAGGCTCTGCGCTGGCAACAACACCCTTTCCCTAGTCCCACCAGCCTGCCTCCTTCCAGTACTGCCGCCTCTCCACTGGTCTTCATCCCTGAGGGGTGGAACACAGGCTCTCTGGACTCCACAACAGGCAGCTTGCCTCAGCTCTCAGCAGGGCCAGCCGTGCACTAAAACTCATGGCCAACTGTTTGGAGCAGGCAGTGGAAAGCTGTGGGGCGCCAACAGATTTCTGCTATCACTATCCTTTTTAAAAGAAGTGGTACATGTTTTCTCTCCCTTCTTAAAACAAAAACAAATCACCCCTATCCCATCCCCTTCCATCAGCCTTCCATCTCTGACTCAGTTCTTAGAGCATATGCCCTCAATGGTTCTCCCTGCCAACAATCTGCTATTTGTGAATATCGCACTGTTTACAAAACATCAGCCCATCTGATCCCCACAACAATTCTCCAGCCACTGTTATCCTCAACCTCCTCACTACAAGTGAGGAAAATGAGGTTCAGAAGGGATGTGACTTCCCCAATGTGGCTCAGGTCATGTGGCCACACCACCTTCAGGGGCATTAAGGTAGCGATTTTAACAGTGTTAAAACCAGCGGCAAAGTAGACCAAGGGAAGAGGGCAAGAGAGGCACCTGGGAAACGGTACTGAAGATTTGTTTCAGGAACGACGGAATACCATACAGCTTACATAAAATGACACAGGTGCAACTCAACATACTATTGAGCAAAAGAAGATACAAAAGATGTGCAGAAGGATCACCACGTAGATAAGGTTCAAAAACAGGCAAATTCACATGGTGGTGTTTAGGAATGCACCAATAGGTGTTGAAACCAGTGACACACAAGGAAGGAAATGATCACCAGACTGGGGCGCGGGGGGTGGGGCGGGGCTTGCGTCTGAGGTGGGAGAAGGGGCTTCTCAGTGTAGGTACACTGAAGGGCTGCTTGTTTTATGACTATTTGTTAAACATCACGTTTTATGCACTTTTCTGTATGTATGTCATATTTCACAATTTAATACACGAATTACTAAAGAAAAAAAGTGGAGCCCCTAAGTTGCCTCATTAAATAAGTAAAATTTCTGACTCCTAACCTATCTTACCTAACTCTTACATTAAAAAATGCCAGCAGATGTAAAGTGCAACTTCCCAAGTTGATTAGTCCCTTGTATCTCCAGAGCAATTAAAACACTAGAGGTGAAGTGGAAAGATCTAGAAAGATCTAGATCCCTCCACCTTGGATAAGGAGGAAGGTCAACAGCAACTCTGGGCCTACCTTATTTCCTACTCTCCAGAAGGAATGAACAAGCGATTCTTCTCCTAATCAACAAATATTTGTCATGCTCTTCCTACCATCCAGGCACTGTTTCACGGAATTTATGTTTAATAGCAAATGCTGTTTATGGGATACCAGGTCCCAGCTGGGGGCTAGGGGCTTCTGCTCTCCCACTAGTCCAGCTTTCTGTTCCCTCTTTCACGAGGAAAACTTACCACAGAGGGTTGGGGGCAGAAAAGCCAGTTGGGGCCTCAGGACTACGCATTGCTGGGTCACAACAGAGGGTAACTTCATCACCCTTCAGCGCACAAGCCTTAAGAAGGTCAACATCCCCCACCTCAGAACAAGGAAGCAGAAAACTGGTCACACACATATGGCCTCCTGGAAGAAGGGAGCTTTATCACTCAAGTTAACAAGGATGGGGTACATTAAGAAGTCTCAAGGGACGGACTCTGCATTCGACCACCTGGCTTCAAATCCCAGCTCTGCTGCTCAGTGTTGGTGTGACCTTGTGAAAATCCCAAAGTGTAACAACAAATCAGATCTTAAAGATTCCTCTTTTGTGGCAAGTTTGGGGCAACAGTTCCTCCTCTTTTCAGAGATGTTGAAAAGAAAGAACAGAGGTAAACCTCCGGAAACACGGTAGGCACTCAATAAATGGTATTATTGTTATCAAAAAAACAAGCACTATTATGGAGGGTAAGATGAATTTTGCTGTTTCCCACCCAACTCCTGACACTGTACAGTTGGTTAACCTTAGGACAATTCTTGATCCTTTCGTCTCATGTGATTGGAAAGCATAAAAATACTTATCTTAAAAATCCTTAACAGAAGATTTAACTCCACCAATTGAAATAATTCCTGTCTCCCAACTGCCTTACAATGATGAAATGTGAAGAGAAACAAAATTCAAAATTAAAAAAAAGAAAGGTGAATTATCTCGTGGTCAACTTTTAACTGTCATGTTAATTAAGACCAGTAAAGACATATAATATGGATTTTCCAAAAGCCCAAATTTACCCCTAGAGCTTCTACTTCTTTTTTCTGTAAATCCACCTTTCCCAGCAATAACAAATATACACGCTAACTAGTAAAGGTGTTAATAATTATTAGGAAAATACTAAAAAGGCAGGAAAAGTCAAGAATAAAGATCCTAGAAAAAATAATACACAAAATGATAGCTGACTATTGTAAAATGTTCATATTGTGGATTTCAACTCTTACAGCAGTTTTCTACTGGTAAGGTAGGCGTGGGGCCTATAAGTTAACCGAAACCCAGTTACCCAGCTGTTTTCATTTTTTAAAATATACTCTTTAAGGAGTGACACAGATGTTTGTTTAAAGGTATCACATGGTAAGAAACATCTGATATTTAGCAGAGAGATAAGGAGCCATCACACTATGATGTTGATCTGGACTTGCATGTTTTATAGAGGAGAGCCAGTGTTCAGATCTTCCACAGCTAGTGCCTGTCCTTTTCCTAATGATTCTCAAACTAGTCTTCTAATAAGAAGGCACCAACAGCTCTGAGAATATGTCTCCCGCCGACACAGTGAACAACTCTCTCTTTGCCTCCCCATCTAGAGCAGGTGCCACCATACCTACCATGATGGTGTGTTCTGGAAATCTGGCACGGACGAGTTTCACGAATTCCACAAAATGTTCTGAGTACCCATTGGCCACATCCAGGCAAATAAACTTAACCTGCGGCACAGCTTCCAGGATGCTGCTCATCTTTTCCAGATCGCTGTCCCCACTGCCCGAACTCACGGCTACATGCTGTACCAAAAGACACCAAGAGAGGCAAAACATGAACAGTAAGTAATATTCCGAAGTTAGACCCTGTCTCCATCATTCATCTCTTCTGGGGACAGTACAGTGATCTTGTGAGGTTTACCCTGATCAAATAGACACGCAGTGGACCTGCTCAAGAAATACACAATCTCAGAGGTAAAGGAGATTCACCCACTAAGTTATCGAAACCTGGACTGTTATCTTTCCCACATTAAATCGCATATATCCGTAACCTTGGAACTCAGCCACAGAATCTTTCCAGCAAACAGATTCTTAAATATGGGAAACCCCGTCCTCGGCTTTTGCTTAATTTCCTCACGCTCTCTATGTGGAATTCTGAATCGTGCAGCCACTGGTGCGAATTCTCCTCCTCCTGGAGAAGAGGAGGCAGGAAGAACAAGGGTGGCGAGTCAACACGGGCTTCCCCCCGCCAAATGTGGCCGACACCTTGAGCATCTCGCTTGGGGAGCAGGACGAGGGAGGGGAAGATACCTAAAACTCCTCTGATAAAACTCCTTCCTGCTTTCCTTTTTCCTCCCAATGCATTATTGTCACAACATGCAAATCGTAACCAGCACAGAGTCACAAGTCTCAGTGTGCCTTTAAAAGGGCAAAATGTCCCAGGTGTAAGAAGGAACGAGCCTGAAATGATCTTCCCCAACTGCATGTTTACATCTGAAGCCACCACACCCTCCTCCGTGATGCCCTCGCCAACCTCCACAGCACCAGTGCCCTCCAACCCACCCCTCTGCTCCTCTCAAAATCTCCTCTTTGGGAAAAGACTTGAGTGACTTATGCCTTAGTCAAATTTAGTAATTTATGCTTTAGTTAAACTAAGCCATGGGACTGTGCCCAGAGTCAGCATCTCACCTCTTACAACATTTATATTTTAACTCGTTATCTCCAAACCATAAACCACAGATGAGGGACATATCTTAATATCTTTTGTTAGTCCCCAAAAAATCACAACAACGTAGCTACAACCCAGATACTGAGTGTAGGCGGACTGGTAACACAATACATATTTACTCCAGTTCTCTGGGTTTATTCCAGGTGTCACTCTCACCTTGACAGGCTGACCTGCGCTGGCCCAATCCACACCTTCTTTCCCTCCCTCTAGAGCTCTGCTACCTTTTTTCTTTTCCCTTTCACTTCCGTTAAAGTTTGGCAGATGGAACTCAAGATTGGTTAGTTTCTCTCAGTGTTACTGAGTTTTGAACCTTTTCCCTTTTTAATTAGCCTAAATTTAGTTTGGTGGGGGGCAGCGTAGTAAGTCAAATGATCACCTGTGGAAATGAAGGCCAAGGTTCCAATTAACACATGGCCAAAAACTCCTGTAAAGAAGTTGGAAGTGTGACCGAAAAAAATCATTGCTCCCCAAACTTCTTACAGAGAAGAGGGGACGAAGGTGAAACAAGTATAATTCATTTGAACATGATACGGAAAAAAAATGAAGGACTTGTTATTGAGCCAGAATTATTTTATCTCCAAAATCATCTTCTCACTAATCAAAATCCACACATAAAGTACAGCAAAAAAAAAAAGAAAAGACTAGTGTAACCTCAAAAGCAGTACAATATGAAATCATTTTCCTATCACAAATGATCTGACCATGGAGGAGAGCATCACTAAGGCAAAGAGACTTCTCCGCTGGCATTAGCTCAGAACCACTAGCATGTGCCAGGCAGAAAGTCAGGAGTGTTGCATTAGCTCAGAACCACTAGCATGTGCCAGGCAGAAAGTCAGGAGTGTTGTATTGGGGCTTTTTCTTATTTTCAAACCACCTTTTTAAAGATTTTATTTATTTATTTATTTTCCCCCCAAAGCCCCAGTAGGTAGTTGTATGTCTCAGCTGCACATCCTTCTAGTTGCTGTATGTGGGACACGGCCTCAGCGTGGCCGGAGAAGTGGTGCGTCGGTGCGCGCCCGGGATCCGAACCCGGGCCGCCAGCATCGGAGCGCGCGCACCTAACCGCTAAGCCACGGGGCCGGCCCTAAACCACCTTTTTAAATTAAATAACAGCTTTACTGAGATATAATTACATAACATACAATTCACCCATTTAAAGTGCACAATTCAATGGCTTTTAGTATATTCATAGCTGTGCAACTGTCATCACTATCGATTTTAGACATTTTCATCACCCTAAAAAGAAACTCTCATACTCTTTATCCCTCACCCCCAAAACCCCCAACCCCCCAGCCTTAGGACACCACTAATCTACTTTCTGTCTCTATAGGTTTACCTATTCTTGACATTCCATGTAAATAGAAACATATATGTGGCCTTTTGTGTATGGCGTTTTCACTTAGCAAAATGTTTTTAAGATTCATCCATGTTGTAGCACATATCAGTATTTCATTCCCTTTTACTGTTAAATAATATTCCATTGTATGGATATACCAGATTTTGTTGATCCATTCATCAGCTGATGGACAATTGGGTTATTTCTACCTTTTGGCTATTATGAATAATGCTGCTATGAACATCTGTGTACAAGTTTTTGTGTGGACACATATTTTTCTATCTGTTAGGCCTATACCCAGGAATGGAATTGCTGGGTCATATGGTAACTCTTATGTTTAACTTCTTGAGGAACTGCCAAACTGTTTTCCAAAGCAGCTGTACCGTTTCACATTCCCATAACAATGTAAGAGGGGATTCCAATTTCTCCACATCCACACTTGCTATTATCTGTCATTTTGATTTAGCCATCCTAGCGGGCATCTTGTTTATTCAACTCCAAAACAATTTGTTATAATTAGATGTTTTTTCTACAGCCAAAAGGAATGTTCAGACTGGATCCACTCCTGGCAGGAAACAGAGGTCTTCCACAAGCTCTCATGATATAACACTTCACCTTTCAAGGGAAAAAACAGATATTCCTTGCAGGTAAACCTAATATTTTCAAAGTGGGATACAGGTTTCCTTGGCAAATCCCTGGCAATGATGAAGGGCTGGGGGACATCCTGGCTTTCCTCAGGTCTCTCTCAGGACTCTGTGTGTCTATCTGCTGTCGATTCAAATCCTTTTGACAACCCTGAAGATTTCCTTCCCCCTGCAACAAATGCAATTTATAACCATGTGTAGTCCTACCTGCAGGCGTTCTGGATGATTAGCGGCAAAGAGCTTCCAGTCACCCAGGGTGTAATGCTTATGAATTGCTGTAAACATGGAGTGCTAGGAAACAAAACAGCACCATTAGGATGAGAAGTCAAGTGGACCCTCCCTCCTTGCCTCTGTCTGGCGGGGGTGATCCAACAACACAAAAGCATCGGGTGTTCCTGCCAGTCACGTATAATTTGCTTTGAATATGCTCCTAGGAGCCAAAAACAGACAAAGGTGTAACCAACGAAATCACAAAACTGTGTTTTCCATTCTAATCTGAAAAGACAACACTGCATTCAGGACTTGGGAGGCCCTGCCAGGAGGCAGGGGAGGGACAAGGGGAGTTCTCAGAGCCCAGGCCCAGCTCACCACCTGAGTGAGGCCAAGAGCAGCTCAGACAGCAGGTGCCCCGCCCATAAGCAGGGCTGCCCTCGGCCCTGTGGCGAAGTGGTTAAGGTTCTGCGTGCTCTGCTTCGACAGCCCAGATTCGCAGGTTCGGATCCTGGGCATAGACCTGCAACACTCGTCAGCCATGCTGTAGCAGTGTCCCACATACAAAATAAAGGAAGACTGGTACAGATGTTAGCTCAGGGCTAATCTTCTTCAGCAAAAAAAAAAAAAAAAAAAGGCAGCCCTAAGGCAAACTGCTGCTTAGCTAAGCCAAAAGGACCTCAACTTATACCTGAAAGCCTTTCTTCGTGTTTACAACCTAAACAATTCTTGCTAAAAGCTAAACCCATCAAGCAGCTGGTATTCTTGAGGGAGAGAATTATATAAATCATAATCCTAAATCTACAACTATCAACTGGGCATTTATACTTTGTGCAAGCACTTTATATACTTCTCATTTACTTCTCAGAACAACTGTGCACAGTAATATGCACTTTGTGGGCAGAAACAGAGCTTAAGAAATTTAAATTAAAGAAATGTAACAATTGCTTGGCCAATAAGGAACAAAAGCCAGAATCAAACTCACATCTCACTGCACAGCTCAGGCTCCTTCCCCTCTATCAGGTCATCTCTCCTAACTTCTCTGGGTCTATTTCCCCCCCTACAGTTTCCTACTCTCAAATTCTACGGCTTTATTCACTTGCACTAACTCAGTGGATTGGAGAAACGGAAAATTCACAGCACCCACACACGGTCAGCTATTCTAGTGTACACCACCTCACTAAAGGGGAGTCTTTCCTGGGGAAGGGGGATAGCACAGCAAGAGCAGGTATTTTTCATGGACTAATAATCTGATATGTGAATTAATCAGGGCTATTCACTGCTCCCTGATTCCACCCACTTTTACACTAATACATAATTCATTAGGAGCAATGGTTGATCACAGAGCAGAGCAGGGAAAAGACAGGGAGAGAGAATACAAATTCCTCTAGCAATTAATTTATTAGCCTCCGGCCCAAAGCTCGGTGGGGGCTGAGGGCCGAAAGGCAATACAACAGATCAGGGAGTCAGACCACCTGCTACCCCATTTTCTGAGTTCATAATTTGTTTGAAAATCTTCCTTCTAATCACCAGCTAATAACGAACCCCCGTGCCTCCTAGGGTTAGACTCGCTGCCCACAGCGAGAGGCTCTTTCAGCTAACTGGATTTACCTTTTCACTTGGCAGGCACTATAAGTGGAAACAGACGCCCAGACCCTGTGTGCATCAGAAGCAAACATTTCACATCGAGGATGAATACGGCGCACTGCACCTTGGACACAGCCACTCGAGGTGAACGTCCTGCCCACAAATGGCTTTTCCTTTATTTGCCTCAAGGCCAGGATACAAGCTACTCCCTTTACAGGAAATTAGACTAGTAATTGGCTAAAAGGGACCTTGAGCTTGTACTGTCACCTGTCAGTGTAAGGTGGGAGGCAAATCCCCTATTCTGGAGTCAGTTTGGGTTTGAATCTTGGCTCTGCCTCTACCTGGCTGCATGCTCTGGGCCAAGTCACCTCTCGTCTCCCTCTCTGCCTCAGTTTCCTCATCTGTAAAGGAACCCGTCTGGTGGAGTTGTGACAACATTATATAACTTATATCCAGTGTTTGGGACATAAGTGCTCAATAGATATTTTCTCCATAATCATATATAATAAATGCTACAGCACAGGCTGCATATGAAGCAGTTCTGTCTTAATTTTACTCTTCTATAATATGGCACTTGTCTAAGTTTACAATACGGCACAACGTCCAATTTCTTTTTGTATCTCTAATTTCCAAAACCATCATGGGCATTTTCAAGGAGGAAATGGACATGGATCTAGAAAATCTCATTGAACGCAAAGTCCAGACTCTGTCCATCTTCTGATTGAAAAGTAGTACCCCAAGCAACCATCAGACTCAGAACGAAATTGTTAGGCCACAGCGAATTTCCCAGTGTCTCACTTTTCTCCTCTCCCCTGTGTCTGAACAAGTCCAGCGTGGGCTCCTGACAATTTGTCCAGTGTGAGCAGCAGAGGTAAAAAAGCCCACCGTCCTACCTGTGACATCACCACTGCCATCTCAAATGTCCCCACGGTGTCCATGTTGGCCACAATGATGGGAATCCCTGAGTAGGTCTGCTTCGAGTTTCGAAATGTGAAGGTACACTCAAGATCCACCTAAGGGCAAAAAGGGAAAAGAAGCGCTTTGCTCTTTACATGATTTGTGCAGAATTTCTAGGGTTTGGAGCAAGTGGAAGGAACACAAAGGAAGTGAATGTCCCTTGGTCCCCGATTCTCTCAGGGGCTGGGCCAGGTGTTCAAAAAGACAGGAGAGTTCCTGAGGTTGTTATCCAAGTGCAAAAACTGAACTGAGCTCCTTACCATCCCATTCTCAAGAGCCAGTACAAGGCACTGGATGTTCCGCCATCAAGGCCAGCCTCTGAATCGGCAGCTCTCTCCTTCAACAGCCTCTCCCATCCCACTGCCACCTTCTATCCCCAGCCTGGTTCATCCTAGCCCTTAACACTCACATACACGGTATCTTTCCCCACTTGCAAGGACTAGAGAGAACATCCTCCTTCTGGGAAAATCTGCTCCACTCTTCCCTGCCAACCATGGCGCTCCCTTTACTTCTCATCTTTTAAGAGAACCAGACACTCCAAATTCACCCTGCAGTGAGCTGCAAACCATTAATCCCTAACCTTTCAACATTCTCAGCTGTTTTGCAATTATGAGCATCTTTCAAAGAGCTAGGAGGAAGTACACCGCAGCCATATGCCTACGCATATAAACACTTGTTCCTCTGACTTGCAAACAGCTGGAGGGAGGGCCCTCCAATTCTATTGTAACTCCAACTTCAGGGCATTAATGACTAACTGAGCTATCAGGAATCCAGAACAAGAGCTAGGCGGTGATGGTGGGCTCAGCAAAAGCAGTGTGCTAGGGCCAGGCGCTCACCAGGAGCTAGCAGGGTCAGATTACTTCCTTGACCCAGGGCAGATGCCAGGCCTGTATGCTCCCAGATCCACTCCTCACCCTTCCCCTGCTCTGCTATTATCACAGGGGCCACTCCCTGCAGGCTCCACTTCCCAGGTTGGTTTCTGGCTGGGTTCAGCCAATGGGGTCAGCGGGTAGGAAAGTGGAGAACAGTGGGGGTTGGGGTGGGGGGAACTGAGTGTAGTCAGGGTAGTTCTCCAGACCCCCTCCGCCGTGGCCTGCATGGTCTTGGTTCCAGCTTTCACAGAATGATCCCAGTCCTCGGGATCCAGCAACACCACCTCCTCCCTTTGGGACTGGTTCCTCACTGTTGCCAATCTCTGCTGCCTCAATACCTCATTTGCCATCTCAGTTGTGTCAGGATGCCTTCCATTCAATTCCTCGTTTAAATACTCAGCACTGTTTGTTTCCTTGGCGGGACCCTGACAGATACAGACCATTCTGGAAGTGGGTGCTCCCCCAAGAACCGGCAGGAGAAACACAGGTGTGAATCTTACGCTTCTGAGATAATTTGGACCTACAGGAATCCTGGCTGTGTACACCAGCAATAACCATGTCCTACCAGTGTTCATCTAGGTCCTTCGTTTATTCTTTTTCATTTGAGATCACTTCTGCTTTGCAATCAACATCATCTCAGAAAACACCATGTCACATCTCAAGCCTTTGAGCTGTTTCACGTCTCTTGCTTCTCCACACAGGGCTCCATGTCCAGAAGGCTTCTTGGGCAAGTGATGACATAAATACGACCGCCCTGCCTTACACAGCAATCAGGGAGGGGAAATGAGATGCTGTTATTGCGTGAGAATATGTGGCAGCTCATCCTTTTCTCCACTTCCCTCATTATGATTCTCTTGGTTCTACTTCAGTGAAGCGAGTTATATCTACATTCTGAAAGATAACTGAAGGGCCTATTAGTTGCAACCTTCTGTGCTGCTAATGGCCCTCTAACGTTTTGGTTTCACAGGCTTAAAATAATCAGAATTCTCTGGTCTCAAATTACTCTCCCACTCCTCCTAAGATGCACGGGGAGAGCTGCTACACTCTGCACTCGGCTGAGCTCACAGTGGCTTCTTCTTGGTACTCCAAAACCTATCAACAGTACACAGAAAAACAAGCTCTTCATGGAAAATTACCCTTCACAACGAACTCTTCCCCCATTTCTAATCTTCTAAATATGGCAGATTCTATGTAATCCTTAATTCTAAGAATGAGAAATAAAATTATCTTCCCCGACCTTATCCACACAGACAGAAGACACACACGCACACCCCAAAAATAGACTGGCTTTTCACTGAGAGAGAGAAATATTTTAAACACCCCAGCCTCCCAGGAACAAAACTTGGCATTTAATCTGCCACAGCTCGTCAATGCACCAAATATAGCACCTCCAAATTCCTACTCTGCTAAGCCTAGTTTGAAAGAGAATGTAAAGTACTAAACTACCCCTCCCCCACCTCAAAAATACACATTTCTGCTGCTCTTTAAACACGCCTTCATTAAAGTCAGTCCTACAGCCCAACATTTGGGGGCCCCGAAAGTACAAATGGAGGCCCATCTACCACATTTCTAAATATCTCAATGTTACGAGTCAAGCTAACAAGCTGCTACACAAATTTTGTTCTATCCTCCTACCTTGACAAATAATTTCATTAATGACCTGGAAAGCACCAGGACACGATGTCATGGAGAGCAAGCTCTGGCCCCCAGTCCACGCCCCCTTCTCTTCCCACCCTAATCCTTACATGCACACAGGGATATCTGAGACTGAACATTAAGCTCCATGCACACACACATCCATTCCCACAAAGAGCCGCCACTGGGCCACGCTCTCAGCTTAGAGGTGAGTGAATCAGCAGCACGGCTGGCCCTTGGGAAAACACACCTGGGGAAGGGGCCCTTGCAAGCCTTGGAATGAGCTCACACTTATCTGAGCAGGAAAATCCAGGATCCTGAGTGCCTGGAACATGGCCTGGAGGGAAAGGCATAGCCCCACAGCCCTGTCCAGTGAGGAGGTGACAGGGGAGCAAAAGTGGGGTCCAGAGCAGGGGCCCCTTTTGCCTAGATCTATGGATGGTACTGATTAACACAATTCTCTTATTAAATAGATTATTCGTTATCGGTAAGTCTAAGTATAGGGACAATGCCTTTCATCTCTGTAGTGCTAGTGGCTCAAAATATGTGGCATAAATTAATGTCTGGCTAAGGCGTAAGAATGATATTGTATTTTGGGCCCCAGCCTTCTTCAGGGCAATGCTTGATGGGCCTCAGCCCAGCTCTCTGGACATGCTCTGTGCCCTGGAAGCTTCACCATCAGTTGTCAGGATTCGGAGAAGCGCGTGCAGCTGCGCATTACCAGACAGCCAGAGGGTTCCACAAAGGCAAAGGACTCCAGTGGCCAGGCCAGGCCATCTGTATGCACATCAGAATCACTGTAGGATGATTTCCAAAATACACATGCTCAGGCCACCCCAAATCAGAACTTTTGTGTTGGAGACAATATGTGTATTTTGGAGTGTCTCCCTAGGTGAATCTATGCATTCATTAAGAACAAGTCTAGTCAAACCCTCTCATTTTACAGAGCAAGATTTACAAAGGCTGTTATGGTTTGAATTGTGTCTCCCCAAAAAGATGCTGAAATGTTAACCACCAGGACCTGTGAATGTGACTTTATTTGGAAATAGGGTCTTTGAAGACGATCAAGGTAAGATGAGATCATTAGGGTGGGCTGCATTGCAATAGGACTGGTGTTCTTACAAAAAGGGGAAATTTGGATGAAGACACACAGAAAGGGAGAATGTCACGTGAGGATGAAGGCCGAGATCTTAGTGATGCATCTACAAGCCAAGAAACACCTAAGATTACGTGTCAACAACCAGAAGCCAGAAGAGAGGCAGGTAGTAATAGATTTTCCCTCACAGCAATCCGAAGGAACAGCCCTGTTGACATTTGCTCTGGGACTCCCAGCCTCCAGAACTGTGAGACAATAAATTTCTGTTGTGTAAGCTACCCACTGTGCGGTACTTGGTTACAGCAGCCCCAGGAAACTAATACAGAGGCAAGGAAGTAAGATTATTAGTGCAGAGCTTGGACTAAAACGCAGGTCTCCTTTCTCCCAGCCCAACGTTCTCTCCACTCTGCCATGCTCTCTCTCATTCCCCTCAGAACAACCTGCTGCGGACTGCTGAGGCTGGACCAGAACTTGCTGGAGCTGGTGCCTCTCACTGGACCGCTGGTGAAAAAATTACTATGGAGTTTTAAGGAGACTGAATAATCGTTGTGTTGCGTCTTCCCTGTCCTAGGACAAGTGGCCAATTTTCTGCTACAAATTCCTTCAATGTCTGAATTCCAAAGTTATGGCTGCATTAATTGTTTTTAATCTTACTAGTTTACGGACTAGGGTGGGACATCAGAGGAATGGGTCCCAAGAAAGAAAATGCTCAGAAGTCAAGGAATGATGCAAGCTCCCCAGTGTATCAGATCAAGACAAAGATCTTGCTGCAATCAACAAACATGTCACTTCCTCTGAAAAGATTACCCAAATGCCCCCACGCAGCCCTGTGGCACTTGACTCTTGTGTACCAGGGGCTGGTGAAGACACAGGTAAATGCAATGGAAAGTTGAGAGATGACCGCTTACCTGTACAACCACGTAAGGCCACCTGGGCCATCTCCACCTGTACCCTTTGCCTCTGGGAGCTGACCTCAAATGCATTTTATGTGAGATTTTGGAGATGCCCTTGCAGAAGGACTAAAACTTCTGAATGAGAGATCACTCATGCTTTCTCTCCATTTCCTGCTCACTGCCTGACGCTCCATCAACAGGCCCGGCTCTTAGCAAAACTGTTGCAGTGATAAATGTTGTCAACAGTCAAAACTCTCCCTTCCCAGCCAGACTGCTCTCACGAGGTATGTCTCCCCTTCTGGCTCCATTCACGTCAGCTCTCTGGTTAGGCTCACAGCCAGTCATTTACCATATAGCTTCAAATTTGCATTCAGGTATTACTTCTGCCTGGGGGCATACATTTTAGGCTTCTATCTGATTCTGCAATGAAAAGTTTTTCTGCCTACCAGAAATTGCAGGCACCCACAAGCACACCAAGAAAACACTGAGAGGGGATTAGGGGCCTAACGAGATCCCTCAACACCACTGAAGCAGGCAGGTAGGTCATGAGGAGTGGCCAGCCAGGCAGCTGCCTCAGGCACCAGGAAGCTAAACCAGGTCGGGAACCAGTTGGAAAGGCAACGCCAGTTAACTCAGGTTTCCAGGCACGGAGCTGGCAAACTCCCACAAAAGTGGAAATGAAAACATTTCTCAAGGGCACAGAGTTCCCACTGTGATATGTACACGTAGATTTGGAGGTGCCATCAGAAGCTTGGACAACATTAATAGTTGCAATCAGCCCAAATTATGAAACCAAATGACCCATGACATCCTACAATTCCCTAGGAGGGAGTAGTTCATTCTATTACATAAATTCTAAATGTTTTACCCTCTCAAGACGTTTCCTTGTTCAGAAAATACATATAATATATCCTTGCTTTAAACATATAATTTTTCTTAAAAATAAATTTCTCTCTACTAAGTGAATTGTGAACAAACATTTAAAGAATACTGAAGCCACCAAATTATTAGTCTGCCCAGAATCCTCACATCTCCTCTTGGTCTGGCCTTAGGTACCAGCAGCTACCGTTTATACTTCTGGAGGCCGGGGCCTGCCATCCAAACTGTTTATTTTTCTTCCAAGAGTCTAGTCTGCCCAGCTCTTCAGCGCATGAAAGGGCATGATGAAGGACAGGAATAGAGTGGTCCAGTCTAGGGGGATAAGGATTAATCATTCCTGGCCTCTTCCAGTCCTGTCTTGTTCCCTCCTCTCTGGCTCCAGCTGCTAACCCTCCTGCATGAGAAGGTGACTTGGTGCTGGTCATTGGCGAAAGCAGGAGGCTTCCTTAATCCAAACAAGCCCTCGGCTGGCACCACAGGGCACTGCAGTCAGGCCGGGCACAGGCGGGCAGCCCAAGTTCCTTGCAAGGGGATTGATTTATGGTCTCGTGGAGTGGGGCCTATGGAAGAGAGTGCTGGCTCCGCCTCCTGTTTACTCCTGAAGTCCCAGGCTCCAGATCAGTCCAGTTCCCTCACCTGCTCCAGTTCGCAGCAGACCAGGCACAGCCACCGCCACCGGCACACACTACTCCAGGCCACTCTGCCTTTCTGTGCAACTAGTTTATGCTTCAGGGTTTGACCTTCCTCCTCCTCCCCAGCAGGGGCATCTCTGCCCCTGCCCCAGCCCGACCGCCGGCTATTTCCAGTCCAGTCTCCACCTGTTCCTCAGGCTTGGCTCTCATCAACGCAGAATCAGCAAAACTGTCCCGGGTATCCGATTTGTCCCCCACCCCAACTCCTGCACCCCAGTGCTTGCTGCTTCCCTGGCACTGGGCTGGACTGCAGCTGTCCAAGCATAGGTCCCCAGCCTCACTCTCAGCAAGGCCACTGAAACATGGAAAGTAAACCCTGAACTTTTGTCCTGGAGTTACCTGTTTTTCAAACATTTTAAAGAAATTCCATTGCTGGACCTGATACAACAGTAGCAGCAGCTCTCTGCACTGAGAGACACTACCAAAATCACAAGGATCTTTCATTGTTTTTCCTCCCCCTGCACTGTGTCCTTTTCTCCCTATAGGCACCCCTCCACCAGCCCCCACCCCTCACCCCAGCCACTCTTTCTAAATCAACTGGCCACTTGATCTTTGCTCTAGTGATCTAGTTCTAAGGCTTACTTCCCCTTGCCCACCCAACCAGACATATTTAGAATTTTAGGCCAGAGCTGGGCCCCTTAAAGACACCTCCAGTCCTGGCAAGGACCCAGCTGGCTGTCCCCTTTGTCAGGTGGAGGGGAGGGGAAGGGCCACGGGGGTCAGTACCCCATCCATCCTCAGACACACAGAAAAACTGGCAAGGTTCCCACATCCCACCGCCTTCCACCTCCATTTCCCCCGCCATGCGCCCCCTCACCTCGGCTCGGCTCTTGAGGCTGCTTCGCTTGGGTCGGAGCAGGACATCCTTGAAGTCCAGCTTGAGGTCTGCATCCACGCGGGGCATGGTGCCGGTCGGCGCGCTCGGCCGGCGCGGCTGCAGCCAGCAGCTCCTTCCC